ATTAGTCGTTGTAATTTTTTATAATTTTTTTCTTTTTATTTTTGATATTTTTTGATACATTATTATTAATACTATTATTAAAGCCCGTTTAGCCCGTTTAGCCCGAAGCCCTAGGGTTAGGGTTAGGTCCTTTTATTGGTAGTCTGTTTAAATTCGGGCTTTTTAGGCCCGGACCGTTTAGCCCGTAACCGCTAGGGCTAGCCGGTTTAACATTTCTAGTCTTAACAAATGGTGCGAAACTTCTCGTTTCAATAATCAAGTAACATTTTATTTTAATTTTATGGTAATTCTTATAAAACTTCAATATATCGTCAGCTATTTTGTCAAATAATTATTATTATTATTATTATTATTATTATTATTATTATTATTCTTTTTTTGGTATTTTTTATATCAAATAGTGAAAAAAAAAAAAAAATCTTAATTTAACCTCACGATAGATCATTATCATTTCACACCATATTTCATCTCAAAAAATTAGAATGATTTAAAAAGTTCATTCATGAAACTTTTATTTTTTATAATATCCTCCCTATATATAATTCCCGAATGTGCTGAGCCTAAGTGGCAGACTCGCATATTTCGGGATCCTAGGTTCAAAATTCCATGCTTTAGTATTTGGCTTGGATAAATTTTCATTTAATTCTAATAAAAAAATAATTAGGTTCGGATTATCATAAATATGTTGATTTATTTATGATCATTTTAGATGTATGAATTGTATTTTAATATTATTTCCTATTATAACTATTGAATTGTAAACGTGTTTTAAAAGTTGACAACTTTTGTATTTTTTATCGGTTTTGCATATATAATATATCAAATTAATCATTTTTTTATGAGCTTCGATTTGACATCCATATTGTAGATATAATATAAACACTACAAAAAAACAGTTCAATTCCAACGGCAAAATTTCTGTTGAAAATTCCAATGAATATTCTAACAAACTTAATTTTATGTTAGAATAAGTGTTGGATGGTTGAGGAATTCCAACGGATTTTTTCCGTTGGAATAGTTGTAGGAATTTATTTCCATAGGATTTTTCGTTGGATTTTAGCTATTCCAACGGCCGTTTTTCCCACGAATTTTTATACGTAGGAATATCCGTTGGAATAGCGATTCCAACGGAAAATATAAAGAATTCCAACAGAAAATTTCCGTTGGAATGTAAGAGTTTTTTTGTAGTGAAATAAATTATATTTATGTTTATAATAATAAAGAAAATATTTTTTAAAATTAATTATAAAATAAAATTATTTCTCAATTAATATATTATTTATGTTTAATGTAGTTATATGTTATAACTTAGAAAAATTATTATAATATAACCCAGGTAAGTCGCACAAGTAACAAGTGTCATACTAAAATATATAATAGCATATATTTTTTATAAAAAAAAGTATTTAAATTTTCAACCATTTTTTTTATTAATTTTAAATTTTAAGAAAAAAAATTAGCAAGCACCCGTGTAATACACGAGCGTCGTACTAGTTTTATTTATTAATCAATAACCGAAAAAATTAAACAAATCAAAGTTTGCATAATCATGCCACATAATCATGTTGCACCATTATTTTAATTAAAATATTAACATAATGAACCAAATTCAATGATACTTTCTCCATATAAGTAAACCATTCGGATCATATTTATTGGACCTTAAATAGTTAATTTTATTTTTTCTTAATTTATTTATTGGACCTAAAAGTTTCTTGTGAGTTATGATTAATATCCAAAATAATCAAACTGAATACATTGTGTGGAAAGCCACCAACAATTCTGCTATGGAGCCACCTTATCGAGTCATCCATAGTTATTCACAAATAGTGCATTGATGGCACGTGTCTTACAATAAATTAAATACACATTGGACATGTGTCGATACATAAAATTATGCATGGCTCCATAAGAGAGTCAATCATCCAATTACTCCATAGAACTAAAGTTGTGCTGGTTCTAAATTTCAATCACCAAGTAAAAGATGCAACTCAAATCACATTTCAAGCAATGTAAATAATATCAAATTAACTGCAGAAATTTATCATCCTTATAACCATTGTTTGAAAGTACAATCAATTTTGTAAGTAAGTAAAAAGACAACAATTTTTTCCTGTGTAAATATCAGCCAACCTCTCATAACTCAGAAAACTCAACATATAAATATTCTCCATAGATATAGATGCAAACACCTCACATACTGATCATTAGGCGATATATATATATTATTAGCTAAATTCATTAATTTTTCGGCCGACTGCTCTACCGCAAAGCAGTACATTGTTCGGTATGGCGTACTCGTTTGAGAAGGATTGTATCGGATTGTAAACCCTCATATATAGTTGTTGTCCGAGATATTGTCTATCCCATCTTGCTGACCTCAAGTTCCACATGCCCTGATTGTCCAAAGACACTAATATAGCAGTCCATGAATTGGGATATACCTGCAAGAATGAATAATTTTTAGAATGGGCCCGAAATACATCCTCATGGGCCGGGCCAATTTTGCTCGTCCAGCCCGAAGTAGTACAATGTACAGTTTGCTATATTACCTGTGTGGTGTGTCTGGTCAAAGCATCATGAAGATTGTAAGTCTTCCTGCTCGCTTTGGTCCACTGCCCATTTCCGAAGCTGTTAACAAAACTATGTTTAGAAATTGTGTTCTATTCCAATTATTTCTTTAAAGGAAAGCTTTTGAAGCTTAATCTATATATATATATATACCCGACAACCCAGAAGTCATATCCATCGACATGCCACGACTGAATCGTGCCCTCATTGTTCTGAAACACAATCTCAATGAAGTCATGGAGTGAGGTTCCTACGACAGAAGTCCCAAGCTTGGGCCCGCCGCTGCCAGATGGCACGCTCTGGATGGAGTTGACGCTGAAAACACCCGAGATGTTGTAATAATCTGCGAGCTTCAAGGGAGTGTCGGGGTTTACGTAAGAAACGCCGTTGACGGCATATCTTTGCTTGCCGTTAATAAGTGGTGCTGAGTTGGCGAGCACGAAAGTCCTCGTAATATTTATCATCCCGTAATGGAACGAGCCTTGCGGGTTGGGCCTAGCTGCATTTGAGGTCAGATTCCACCTGAAAATGCAA